CCCGTGGTCCGGGTCCAAAGCAAACAGGAAAAGCCGACGGTGGGCCAGGCTGGGCCTCTTTCTTTGTTTGGAGAAGGGATTAGGCCAAGCGGATTTGGATTTGTGGGTCTTTCCCTCCAGGGGTGGGAGGGGGCTGCAGGCCAGCCAGGGGCACGGTGAGGTTCCATTCAGGGGGGCGGCACGGGTCCTGGGGGCCGGCCTTCAAGGGTACCACACGCATGGCCTTCCTTGGCAAATGCTAGCCCGCTGGAGGGAACTGGGAGCACACGCTACGTCACCCTGGGGTGTCGCCACTCCCTCTGTCACCGTGCCCAAGTTGCAGCCCTGCCCTGGGCACTTGGCTTCCCACTCGTGTCCCTTGGCCATCAGCCCGGGCCTGATGGGGTGGCTGCCAGTTACTGCAGGGGGAAGTCCACACTGCCCGGACCAGGGCCCTGGGAACAGGTCTCTAGCGAAAAAGGGAAATGCTGAGGGCTTGGAGCACCCTCCCTCTGAAAGATGGGAACCCAGGATTCCCCTGCAGGCCCAGCCCTCAGACCCTGGCCTCCGCTGGCCAGATGCGGGTGGCAGCCATCCACTCTTGCGGTTATGCCGGAATGAACTCATCTCTGCGTCGGTTCACACATGTAGTCACTGACCAGGCCTTCGTGCAGGCTCAGCGAGGGGCAGCTGAATGAGGTTGTCCAGGAGCTGGCAAGCTGATGGGGCAGACAGACGGGAGTCCTGAGGGGCATCTGGCCCCAACAAGAGTCCTGCCTGCTCGCTGTGAATGGAAGTGGGCTGGCGGAAGGGGCAGGCCGTTCTCCCAGGGCAAGCGTGGGGGCAGGGGCAGGAGTGGGGATGGGCTAGAAAGACTTCAATCAGGTGAGCCTCCTTGAATTGACTCACTCACTTATTCATTTGCCATGTGTGCGTTCACTGAACAAGTATGTGTTGAGCCCCTACTGTTGTGCCAGGTATGTGCCAAGTGTTGGTAAGCAGAAGCAGCCAAGGCCCCCTGCTCTCTCGGGGCCTCCAGTCCGTTGGGGAAATAGGCAGGGCTCGAGTCATCAACCACACAGATCAAATCGAAAACTCGCCGAGATACAGGGCTTTGAAGAAGAGGTGTGTGGCGCTCATGGAGCGAATAGGAGCTTGACCTGGTCAGAGAGGTCAGGCATCTTCTCTGAGAAAGACCGGAAGGATGGATAGGAATTAACCAGGGTGAGAAGGGAGAGAAGATGACCCAGGCAGAGGAAACAGCATGTGCAAAGGTCCTGTGGTGAGGGAGCTGGGTGAAGGCCAGAGAACCAAGAGGGGAGTGCGGTGAGAATGAGGCTGTGCAGTGGGCAGGCTGAGAGCACTCGAATTTGGGTCCCTTTAGATCTGGTTTAGATTCCAAGACCAAAAGGAAGGCCTTAAGCAGTGTTACCAACAACTTTGGATTCTTGTCTCCTGATATACAAGAATTTGGACCAGGGCCACTGATAAAAGCGAAGGCAGATTTACTGGGGCTCTGCAGAGGGTGAGAACACCAAGATAGGGTCCTAGGTTCTGTGTCCCAAATCTGGGGCCTTGGGGTTTTTATGGCTCGGGAACATGGAAGCTGTGGGGGTTAACAAGGAGTGAGTTAGCAGGCTTTTTCTTTTTTGGAACACTGAGATCTGGGTATATGTCAGCAAAGTAAAGCATTCTGGGATTGTGCAACACTTACTATGGGATGTGGGAAGGGACTTTCCCAACCAGATATTGAACTGGTCCCTAAGTGATTGATGGCTTGGCTTTTAAAATATGTATGTACTAGTGGCCTGTGCACGAATTCATGCACATTGAAAGGAAATTAATTAGAAGAAATATTTTAATATTGCTATTCGCCCTTTCTCTATAGTAGAAGTGTCAACCAAATTCACGATCGACAATGACAGATGGAAACAATCGAAACACAAGCATGTGATTGGCGCCAGCAAGAGCTTTATATGTATCATGCATGCGCAAGTCAACTTAGCCTTTTCTATATATAGAATAAACTTGCTTAATTAGACCTGCTTTCTGATTAGCTAAACTTTTTCTAGCCCAGTGAAGCACCCCAACTTCTCTTTCAGGTAATTGTCAGCAACACAACAGTAAATATCAACATGAAGCAGATGATTATTGTAGATCAGGCAGGGAGAACAAAGGGTAAAATATTTAGCTGCAGCAGTGTTTGACTATATTCTGTGCAGTGAGAAAACTCGAAGTCATTTTCTTTTTTTTTAATATATATTTTTATTGATTTTAGAGAGGAAGGGAGAGGGAAAGAGAGATAGAAACATCAGTGATGAGAGAGAATCATGGGTCGGCTGCCTCCTGCTCGCCCCACACTGGGGATCGAGCCTGCAACCCAGGCATGTGCCCTGACCGGGAATCGAACCCTGACCCGGTTCACAGGTCGACGCTCAACCACTGAGCCACGCTGGCCGGGGAGAAGTCATTTTCAAGGTCCACCATTTTTTACTTCTTTTCAGTCGGGTCAAGTTTCTAAGCTTTCTAAATCTCTGTTTTCCGGCTAATGAAAAAAAAAAAAGGATTCCACTGAGTCTCCTATCTACCTACTCCAGGACTTCTGTGAGGATCAAATAAGATGAGGCACGGGAAAACGCTTCATAGACATTTGTCTAAAATGTGAAATGTTTGCACCTGGCTATAAAGCAAGTCGTGTTCCTGGGAGGAAGAAACTGCAAGGAGGCTAGTCGCTAGGGCAGCGGTTCTCAACCTGTGGGTCGCGACCCCTTTGGCGGTCGAATGACCCTTTCACAGGGGTCGCCTAAGACCATCCTGCATATCAGATATTTACATGACGATTCATAACAGTAGCAACATTACAGTTATGAAGTAGCCACGAAAATAATTTTATGGTTGGGTCACAACATGAGGAACTGTATTTAAAGGGCCAGAAGGTTGAGAACCACTGTGCTAGGGAGAGGATGCTGTGTGTTGCTATGTGACGTCATTACCTGGACGGACACTTAGCATATTAGCCTTTTATATATGTAGATTTTTTTAATTGATTTCAGAGAGGAAGGGAGAGGGAGAGAGAGATAGAAACATCAATGATGAGAGAGAATTGGCTGCTTCCTGCATGCTCCCTACTCGGGATCGAGCCCACAACCTGGGCATAGGCCCTGACCAGGAATCAAATCAGTGACCTCTTGGTTCCTGGGTTGACAGTCAATCGCTGAGCCACACCCCGCTGGCGATGACTTGGCTTTAGATCAGAAAAACAAACTTAAAAGTTATCATGGTAGTTTCTCGACCATGGTTTTATAGCTGCCTATTGACAACTGCCGTCGTTCTGGTGGGCTTGACTCGATGGAGCAGTTTTGGGGAACATTTTATTCTGCCTGTTTCAGTAGAAAGTAATGATCCAGTTTGTTTGGTGAAGAGGTTTGAGGGGGGCTGAGTGGAAGTGGTATGTGGGGAGTTCGTGAGGGCACAGCAGTGTCCACATAAATATTGAGAGAGGCGCCCTGACTGGTTTGGCTCAGTGGACGGAGCGTCGGCCTGCGGACTGAAGGGTCCCAGGTTCGATTCCGGTCAAGGGCATGTACCTTGGTTGTGGGCACATCCCCAGTAGGGGGTGTACAGGAGGCAGCTGATCGATGTTTCTCTCTCATCGATGTTTCTAATTCTCTATCCCTCTCCCTTCCTCTCTGTAAAAAATCAATAATATATATATATTTTTAAAAATGATACAGGCTTTGACCCCAGGCGTGGTGAGATCAGGGCGGGGAGGTACTGGCTGTGGGGGTGAGGGTCAGGCGGTGTCAAGGCTGGAGGAACTAGGCTGGTGGATGGGAAGGGTAATAATGGACATCACTTTCCTCTGAGCCAAACCGGCTGGGGCGGTTTTGCCTTTTTATTGAGAATGATGAGTACTATTCTCATTTCTGCCAAGGATAAGAAAAGAGGCTGTGGCTGAGCCCTGGGTAAGAAAGGAGGGGGTGACTTTTTGGTTCTGCTCTGTGGTGTTTAATATCTTGTCTCATTAAATCTGTTCCGTGAACAAGAGAGGTCAGTACTATCATGAGGAAGGAGGTTTCAGAAAGATAAAGCCACCCACCCAAGGTCATGGCTGGTCAAGATTAAGCCTCCACCGGCCTCCTGTCTTAAAAAGACAAGACAGCCCTAGCCGGTTTAGTTCAGTGGATAGAGCGTCAGCCTGCGGACTGAAGGGTCCCAGGTTCGATTCCGGTCAAGGGCATGTACCTTGGTTTCGGGCACATCCCCAGTGGGGGGTGTGCAGGAGGCAGCTGGTTGATGTTTCTCTCTCATCGATGTTTCTAACTCTCTATCCCTCTCCCTTCCTCTCTGTAAAAAATCAATAAAATATATTAAAAAAAAACAAAAAAAGATAAGACAGCCCTAGCCGGTTTGGCTCAGTGGATAGAGCGTCCGCCTGAGGACCAAAGGGTCCCGGGTTCGATTCCAGTCAAGTACACACACCTGGGTTGCAGTCTCCTCCCCAGCCCGGGGCCCGTGCAGGAGGCAACCAATTGATGTGTTTCTCAACCTCTCTGTCTCTCCCTTTCTCTTCCTAAAAATCAGTGGAAAAAGATCCTCCGGTGAGGATTAACCAAAGAAAAAAAAAGGGCAAAACAACTTATTTCATTCTACTCGGTGAGCTGATAATTGAGGAAAAAGGAAAAAGCGGGGGAAGGGGGGCCCTGGGAGCCTGCCTGCTCTGGAGGAATGCAGGGGGCCGGGCAGCCTTCCAGCTCCGGCCGCAGGGGAGACCCGGTGTATTCCCAGCTCGGAAACCCACTCTCTCCTTTTCTGCATCTCCCACCTCTTGTTCCTGGGAAGTCCTTCCCTCACTCTCACCTCGATCCCCCTTCTCCTGTCCCCCACCATCTCAGCTTGCACACAGATGGCGCTGCTCCCACTACCCTTCAGGAGGGGGCAGGGGGGGCAGGGTGTGTGTGTGTGGGGCTCCAGGCAGCCAGCAGCCTGTAACTGGATCCTGTTTGCTTCCAGCAGGTGCACGGTTCCTGGGTCTCCTCTCCGGAGCCTGGCAGAGCTCGCCCCTGCCCAGTCCAGTGACCTTTGCCTGTCTGAGCCCTGGTTAATTTTTGCCCAGTTTGCGGGCTGTGGGGCTCCTCCCCTCTGGGATATAAGCCTGGCCCCAGGGTGCCCTGTTCCCTGACTGCCCTGAGCCTCCCGAACTCCCACCCTCACCATGGCCAAGGGCTTCTACATTTCCAAGGCCCTGGGCATCCTGGGCATCGTCCTGGGTGTGGCGGCCGCCTGCACCATCATCGCCCTGTCCGTGGTGTATGCCCAGGAGAAGAACAAGAATGCTGAGCTATCGGCCCAGGTCACCACCACCTTGGACCCAAGCAAGCCCACCGTGACCGCCACGCCCACCACCACCTTGGACCAGAGCAAGCCGTGGAACCGGTATCGCCTCCCCAGGTCGCTGGTACCCGACTCCTACAAGGTGACACTGAGGCCCTACCTCACCCCCAATCAGCACGGCCTGTACATCTTCGAGGGCTCGAGCACCGTCCGCTTCACGTGCCGGGAGCCCACCAACGTCATCATCATCCACAGCAAGAAGCTCAACTACACCGACATCCAGGGGCACAGGGTGGCCCTGCAGGCCCTGGGGGGCGCCAAGGCCCCCGAAATCGACAGGACCGAGCTGGTAGAGGCCACCGAGTACCTGGTGGTGCACCTGAAGGGCCAGCTGGAGGCGGGCGTCATGTACGAGATGAGCAGCGAGTTCCAGGGCGAGCTGGCTGATGACCTGGCGGGCTTCTACCGCAGCGAGTACATGGACGGCAACGAAAAAAAGTAAGTTGGACCTCGGCCCGCCCGGTGCCGCGGGCAGATCCGGGCGCGGAGGCAGAGCTGGAGCCTGGGGGCCCAGGGAGGGCGTGGGTTCGAGGCCTTTGAACCTGGGGGAGCCCTCGCCGGGCCCTTCCTTCCTCTGTAGCTCCCGGGGAGCAGCTACCCAGACAACAAACCCTTTCCCGGAGGCCTCCCTGCCCCACCGTAGGGGTCAGGGATGAGTGATGAACGGGTCCCGGGTTTAGACAGGAAAACCGATCAGCGGACAGAAAGGTGGGCTCCAGCTGACACGGGATGGAGCTGCCAGGACTTTGACCCTGAGTCCGGAAGGAGCGCTGATCTCCCAGAGTCAGCTGGCCTATCAGGGGCTGCCTGGACAGGCAGGGAGGGCAGGGACTAGGCCAGACCGGCTTTCCGGGTACTCCTTCCCCGGCAGGCCCAGAAACACCTTAAAGCCCCCTCCCCACCCCTACGGGTGCAGGCATTCCCCGGGCAACCCTCTAACACCTGGTTTGGGCAGGGTGCTGGCCACGACCCAGATGCAGTCTGCTGATGCCCGGAAGTCCTTCCCGTGCTTTGATGAGCCCGCCATGAAGGCCAGGTTTAACATCACCCTCATCCACCCCCACAACCTCACGGCCCTGTCCAACATGCTGCCCACAGGTGAGCAGGTCTCTCCGGGGGCCACACAGCCTCGGGGAGCCGGCGCCCCAGGGCGGGGGGCGCAGGGCCGGAGACAGGGTGCCCGCCCACCTGCCTGAACGTTCCACGCCCAGGTCCCAGCACCCCACTTAAGGAAGACCCCACGTGGCACGTCACCGAGTTCCACACCACGCCGGTCATGTCCACGTACCTGCTGGCCTACATCGTCAGCGAGTTCACGTATGTGAACATGACGGAGACCATGTCGACCAATCAAAACGTCCTGGTACGAAGCTGGGCCCGCCTGGCCTTGCCGGGGTTGGCCTTGCCTGAGGGATCTTCCTGTTTACCCCAGCCCCTGAGTTTGTGAGGCCAGGGTTTGAATCCCAGCTCTGGGGAGTTCTCTGACCCTCGGTCTCTGCATCTGAAAAGTGGGTCCCTCCTCCTGGAGGGAGTTCCCGACCCCCGGGTGCCAGACAGACGTGGTGGTTATGGCTATTGCTCTCCCCCAAAGAAGCCTCCCTAGGACTCAAAGCCCCTCAGGGACCCCCAGCCCTCTCTTCTGCTGCCCAGGCCGCCCGGTTTAACCTCATCCAAGCCCTGGCCTCGGCCCACCTGCGCCAGGACCAAGAGGGCCCCTGACCTACCTCCATCCTCTCTGCAGATCCGGATCTGGGCTCGCCCTAGCGCAACCGCGGCGGGCCACGGCCAGTATGCCCTGAACGTGACAGGCCGCATCCTCAATTTCTTTGCCCAACATTACAACACACCCTACCCTCTTGATAAATCCGGT